GCCACAGTTGTGGTTAGTGCTAGAGTCTTTGCCAAAGCCCAGATATGCTGCCTTAGAGTCCATGGCTCCTTGGCCACATCCAGTGACCACAAAGTGCAGTGCTGCCTATCAAATCTTCATGTGCAGGCTACTAGACACTTTGCTTCTGGGCCTCCTCCCACCTATAATTTCGATACCTAGTCAGTGAGTGTCTATACAGGGCGCAGCACCAACAAAGTGATGGAACTTTGCAACTGATATGAATAAAGCAGCATTTTAGTTCTGAGGGCAGAATCAAGACCACCTCCCAAAATTAAATGCAGTTTGACCAGAGAGGACATGGAAACAAAGGCAGATAAGATATAGTGTGTCTCCACACATGGTCCACCAAGAATAATAATGTTTTATTCCCAAGAAGGTATAAGGATAAAACAATACCTATTATTCATTGAGAGCATCCAACCTTTCCTCTGGTTCCTTAGAACACTAGTCATGCATGTGCACATACACAAAAGATTCCAGGGATACCTAATTGTGGGAAATAGACTGTACTGTAATGCCTTTTTAGAGTCACAAAGGATCATGATCCATTTAAAGGCTCCAAGATGCCCTGCTGCTATCTGCTTACCTGTGTCACCTAGTATTTCTCAAACCTAATTAAAAGGAGATTTTTAAATATATCTATTAACAATATTGTTCAACAGACGTATTTGTGAAAAAGCTGTGTTATCTCATTTAGTCACCACAATTCAGAATGGTAGATATTTTACAATTTCAGAAGTGACTCAAAAATGTAAAAAAGTTACCCATCAGGACCAGAATTCAAATCCAGGTCTTCCAGAGTTCAAGTCCCATTCCATTAGGCACTAAGCTGTATAGCCCCAAGGACTACAGGCTCACTTAAGCCCTGCTGTTGTGAAGGGTACTGAGGGCTTATTAGTGATAGAGAGGGTCCTGAGAGGACCTAAAAAAGACAAGAGAAGGGGCCTTCCAGTGGCACAAAGGGTTAAGACACAAACTATGAGGCTATCTGCAGCCTCTGTAGAATGAGTTCGATCCCCCAGCAGGCCCGGGAACAACCCACAAGACACAGCAGACCTCTCCTGACTCTCCCGCTGCTCCCCTCAGCAGTGTATTTCAGTCAGTCTGCCTGTTCTGTTCCCCACTCTGTTTCTGGTGAATCCTCTCACCCCCACACCTCTGGCCTGTACTCCAGCTCTTGTATGCAAAAATAAATAAATCTTAAAAAAACAAAAAAAGACAAAAGAAGTTCACTGCAATTGGCGGGTCTGATGTAACCCTTGGGCAGGAATATGGAAACACACTTAAGAGAAATACAGGTTTGAGAAAAAAAGGAGCCTAGGGCCTCCCCGGTGGCACAGCAGTTGAGCGCTGGGTTATGAATCTGCCCACAGCCTCAGCAGTGCAGGTTCGATCCTGGCCTCTGGGCGAGGGTCCCACATGGCGTGCAGGCCTCTCCTGCCGCCCGCTGCTCCCCTCAACAGTGTACTTCGTCAGTCTGCCTGCTCTGCTCCCCGCTCTGTCTCTGGTGAATTCTCTCACCCTCCCGCACTTCTGACTGTACCCAGTGCTTATATAAATAAATTAATTAATCTTAAAAAAAAAAAAGTTAAAATAAATAAATAAATAAATAAAAGGAGCCTATTAGAGCTATGTCACAGTAGAGGGTGGGAAATGGCAGGGGAAGGTTGGGAAGAAAAATGAAAGCCTCCATAGTAAGGGGATCTGCGCCACAGCTGTTGTGAGGGTGAAGTTGTTTATCGAACACCTAGCACCGTGCCCTGTTCTGTATTAACTGCCCTCCTGCTCCTGGAAGTTAGGGCCAGAGAACAGGCAGCAGGAATGACAACAAAGTCCTCTCAGAAGGCTGCTGTAAAGTTTCAGTGACACTGAGCACAACGAAATGACCCAAGCCTGCACTTGAATAATCTCATAGGCCCTCCCTAACTTACAATCTTCGTGGGTATTCGATTGAAGAAAATTGTTTTTTGTCCTAACAGTGCACAGTTTTTAACCTCAGATCCTCTCACACAATCTCAAGTGATGATTCACTTGGAATGAAGAAATTGAATATAAGTCAGATTAGGCCATGCGGAACATTCAGGAAAAGAAGTGCAAGTGGGGAGAGAATGTAAAAGTCACAGACTCACAGCTCCTCAGGCTGGACTAGAGCAAGCCCAGGTTTTGTTTGGTTTACTGATTATTTTTAAAGAGAGAATTTGCTTTCAAAATGTGTATTTGCCTCACATAAACAAACAGGTTTCTGGCTTCCCTTTAAAAAAGAGCCTATCAGCACTGGCCTGTTGACTTGTGGGATGACAGTAGATGCAGTTGAGACAGTTGCAGTTGAGACAGGTTCTCCCAACTACCAAGTCTCCAGACCTGCCTGAGAAGGTTTGAATCTGCTCTCTGCCTTGGCTCACATGAAACTTTTGTGAAGGAGAAATCTACAGCCAGGGCCCCACTCCCATGCGCTATTACAACAGGTGGTGATGTTTGCAGGATTCTCATAGTTTTTGGTGGGTGTCTCTAGAAGTGTTTGATCACCACCAAATAGTAAGGAAAATGTGGCACTGAGCTAGTTCTTTAATCCTTTGGTACCTATGCCAACCTCTGTGATTAAGAGAGTTCAAAATACTAGGCTAATAACCTTACAAATATAATACCTACTCAAGAAGAATAAACAGCAATAGAAGATTTTCATGAACATTCACTACATGTTGAAAAAAAGTTTCAGGGCCTCCCTGGTGTTGCAAGGGGTTAAGGCACAACCTACCAAGCTATCTGTAGCCACTGCAGCACGAGTTCAAGCCCCAGTCAGGGAGCTACCCTCACGGCGCAGCAGACCTCTCCTGACTCACTCGCTGCTCCCCTCAGCAGTGTATTTCAGTTGATCTGCCTGTTCTGTTCCCCACTCTGTCTCTGGTGAATTCTCTCACTCCCCACTACTCGGGCCTGTACCCCAGTTCTTGTATGCATAAATAAATAAATCTTTAAAAAAGAAAAAATTTTTCAGAACTGGCACAGAGTTGTTCGGCAATGAACACAGGTGTCTAAATTTTAATTCTTTCAATCCTTTTAATCTTAAAATCTTAAAACAGTGTGCCATTATCAAGACCAGTGTGGCATAATAATACCAGGCACCATGTCAGCAATGTTTATAATTTAAATTCCCTAGCAACCACATTGAAGAGCTTCAAAAGCAGGAAAAATTAGTTTTTATAATATATTTTATTTAACCCACTATATCCAAAACAATGTATAACAAATATAAAGATGATTAATGAGAATTTTGCACTTTTTGAAAACAAATCTTCAAAATCTGGGGTGTATTTTTATATATAGCACATTCCAGAGATAATTTTCTAGTGTTCAAAAACCACATGGGCCAGTGGCAGCCTTATTGGATACTGCAGCTGTAGATGAAAGCACTTGTATTCCTCAGGTTAATAAATGTGGGTAAATGGGGAGAGACCAGGTATGGGTTTCCCACAAATCTCACAGGGAACCAGGAGGCCATGGAGGAAACTGACACCCTTCTTATATCTGAACCATATCCTCCTTGGCTGGGCAGTCTTTTGCCCTCCAGTGTGCCCTCTCTGCTCTGTCCTCTCTCTCTGTCCACCTTTCTCATGACTTAGCTAAGACCCTGCTGTAGTATGAACATCAAAGGCTATGAAAAGGTAAAGAGTGGGGCTATTAATAGATTCCCAGCCTGTCCCTTGTGGACCAATGGGCAAGTTACTTAACTTGTCCAGTCTCATATTTCTTTTCTATGTAAACAGGATTAATTTCTTCATCACTCAGTTCTGAGGATCATATAATAAATGTAAGCTCATTACCACTAAATAGGCACGGTAGGAGTTTTCAGATTTTTAATGATTATTTTTCAGGTTTATATATGTTTGATGGAGAAGGCAGTGGGAAAAAAGAATTGGAGAAATTAGAACTTTTTAAATATATGCTAAATTTAGAACACACTTATTCTTTTTTGTTCAATGACATAGCAAATCAGATGAAAAGGGAGGAACACCTCTATAAGCACATGCGAGAATACCCCAATTACTCAGCTAACATTTGAGGAGGAAGCTTCACAGGGTGTGCGGTATATGAGGATGGCAAAAAGGCATCATCTAGAAGACACAACTTTCTCAGTCCCTGCAGACTCCCTCACTATAAAATAGTGTCTTATATAACCAAAATGAAAATGCATACATTGTGCAAAGATGAAAAAAGATATAAGAATTATATAAAATAAAATATTTAATTTTTTTAAAGCTTCTTTTTTTTTATAGAGGCATGTTTTATTTATTTATTTGTTTGTTTGTTTGTTCGTTTTGTTTATACATGCACTGGGTACAGTCAGAAGTGCGGGAGGGTGAGAGAATTCACCAGAGCCAGAGCGGGGAGCAGAGCAGGCAGAAGGACCGAAGTACACTGCTGAGGGGAGCAGTGGGCGGCAGGAGAGGTCTGCGCCCATGTGGGACCCTCCTCTGGTGGCTGGGGAGCAGCCGGGGATCGAACCGGCGCCTCAGGGGCCACGGGCAGCTTTGCAACCCAGCGCTCAATCGCTGCGCCACCAGGGAGGCCCAAAATACTTAATTTTAAAAAAATAAAATAAAATAGTGTCTTGTGACTCTCAAAAGGCCATATCAAACTTAAACTGTTATAGGACAGGGATCGGGTAGGACACATTAAAGACTTTATTTCCCTATTTTCTCCCTGAGTTGTACATTTTCCTTATTTCTTTTTCTCTTGTAAATAAACCTTTTATTAACCCTTTTGTGTGTGTCTGTAGTAGAGTATTCATAAGTCCCTTTAAAGCGCGCGGGTGAGGACCCACAGCCAGGAACCCGTTTAATATCGGGGTTGCTCTATAACAAAACCTTTCCAGGTCCCAAAGCCAGTACCATCCCAGTAGCCCCTGCCAACAGCCTGGGCACCTTGAGGAAAGAAGGGCAATAAAAAGAAGGAATAAATAAAAAGAAGGAAAGACTCACCAGCTCATTCTCTTCTCCTGGGTTCAGCAAAGCCCGATGATCCTTCTTACTTTGCTCCTCCATCTAAAGCAGAAGTGTTAGCATTAGGGTCCCTGCTGACTGAAAGGGTAAATTTCAAAACCCTGGGGCTATGCAAGCTCAGAACAGCTGCTATTTGTCCTTGCTGTTCTTGGGTGCTTTTTAAATCTCTTAGCACACACCTCACATTTTAAGATAACAAAGGAAAGAGAGGAAATACTCTTCTCAGCCACAGGATTGGTCTGTTAATCTATCTGCTTCTTGAAGGTTTTTTTTTTTTTTTCCTCTTCTTAGGGCCTATTTGCTGAGTTATTTCTGAGAGCCTCCAGACTCTAGTTGTTGAACTGGAAAGATAAGTAATTTCATTTGCTGTACATAAAAGTCTTGGCCAATGAATGGGAATGGCCACTTTGTTAAAAACCTTAGACAAAAGCATTAACCAGTAATAGGTGAATAAAATTTCAGTGGACTTTGGGAAAGCACAGTGGACAAATTGTGATTACAATGAGAACTGAAGAAAAGGAGGTTGGTTTGTGGTGGCGAATTTTGGAATCAGAAAAATCTGAGTTCTAAACCTTGCTCTACAGATAACCCCTCACAAATCACTGAAAACCTGAATTCAGATCCTAATATGTAAAACAGCAATAATTATTTTTTAGTTGATATCTAAGGTCTAAGCTGATACTTATAAAATGTAAACTGTAATGCTTGTAACACTTAATAAGAGATAAATCATCATCATTATCATCATCACACTAATCAAGAAAACTTTTTAAAACTCAACTATAAACATAATTTGATTCTGAACTTTGGCGGAGGACTATGGGAGAGCTATAGGTGAGCTGGTGGTGGGTGTGTTATAGGGCAGCCCAGATATTGAACAGGTTGCCTGGCTGTGGGTCCTCACCCACGTGCTTAAAAGGGACTTATTAATGCTCCACTATAGGCATACACAAAAGGTTAATAAAAGGTTTATTTACAAGGGAAAAGGAAATAAGGAAAATGTACAACTCAGGGAGAAAATAGGGAAATAAAGTCTTTAATGTGTCCTACCCGATCCACCGATGTGGACACCCAAAAAGCACTCTCAGAGCTGGACACTGCGAGCTGGCAGAGAGCCAAAATGGGGGAAACCCCCCTCCCCAAAACCCACGTGTCTGGCTTTATACCAACCTGGCTGCTTAACCCCACCCTCAGGTCCCAGCCACCTTCCCTTTGGTGGTGATGGGATTTGGAGTTCCCAGTGTCTTTGGCTTTGGCCTGGGGTGGGGGTGGAGTCCACAAAGCCTGTATGGAATTAGATTTAGGACATCCTTTTCCCCCTAACAGGTGTGCTACAGTGACTACCCCTGAGGAGGGAGGTCCTATAACTTCAAAGTCACTAACAATGATGTAAAGCAATGGTACTGTTGGGGAGAAGGATGTCCTGAACAAACCACACAAACAGGTTTTATGGACGCCACCCCACCCCACCCCAGACCAAAGCAATCCAAGACACCAAGGACTATAAATCCGATAATGTCATCACCACTGAAAGGAAGATTGCTGGGAACTAAGAGTGGAGTCAAGCAGCCAGGTTTGGTATATAACTGGACAAGTGGGCCTTGGGGGGTGGAGGGGTGTGCTTGGTTTTTAGCTAGCTTTCAGCATGCTATTCAGCAGAACTGGTAGGACTCATTCACCAATTTATCTCTCTCTCTCTCTTTCTCCCAGAGTTATGCATTTCTTCATTTCCCCTTTTTTGTAAATAAACCCTTTATTACCCCTTTTTGTCTGTATCTGCAATTGAGTTTCAATATAAGTCCCTTTTAAGTGCATGGTGAGGACCCACAGTCAGGCAACCCAATTCACATTGGGGTTGCCCTGTAAGAGTACTTTAATACAAAATTAAAAAATAATAATTTGATTCCTTTTCCTTTTTTAAGAAGCAAAATGGCTTCAGATAAGTAAATCATTTGAGGGGAGAAGGAACTGGAAAGTTTTGGATACTGTGAATATCATCCACATTTCTACATCTGAATTTGATATTTTTATCAAAAATAGATTCACTGTGATCCACTCAGAGCTTGGTTAATTTGTTCATATTAAAAATTTTTATGCTTTTATTACCTTTTTATTGAATCTAGCCCACTGAACAAATCTTTGCCACTCAGGCCATGAAAGAAAATGTAACAGGAATGAAGACTACTAGAGGGTAATACTTGACTCTTTTCATTGCCTGAGATAGTCCTTGGTGGCCTTGAAAGAGCACCAGAACCCTCCTTGGAGTTCAGGAGTGGTCAATGTGCTTTCTGGCCCTGTGGAAAGTATCTGATGAGAATAAACAGACAATTACAACATTTTAGACCAGAAAGTCTACTGAGATAGCCATGCTAAAGAATAATATGTCATCAGAAATGTTGTACTTTTAAGTAGTTCTAATCTAAAGTAGAGCTTACGTTTGGTAAAAGAAGTCCCAGATTTTAGTGAAATCTAATAAAGACTTGAGGGCAGTCATCAGTCAGTTTTTACCTATCAATTATTCACTCATATTTTTTATCAAAAGGACACCTATTTTTATCTCAACAGCAGGACACAGCTAAAAGCACCATGGTATGAGTCATGATTTGTATAAGAGTAGGCTTGTGACCCAGTTCTCAACAGTAAAATAGTGTAGTGGCAGGATGGCCATAGAGCAGGTTTTCTATGATTGGGCAGCCAGGCGGGTAAAGGAGAATTCTGGAGCCCTCTGTGGCTTACTCAGGCTTTTATTGAGCTTTTACATGTAGTGAAGTAACCAGGCACACAGCAGGCAGGGGTGCTGGGGGTGCCAGAAGACCAGCAGACCCCCAAACCCCAGGCAAGTTTTCACCTGGGGCTTCTCTCTCCTGCCTCAATTCTGCTTCTGCTTCTCTTGGCAGATACTTCAAAACTCCAGCCAAGGCCCACACAACTATAACAATGTGACAAATGCAGGTGAAATGGTCCAGGGCAGAAAAGCCTGAAAATCACTTACCCTACAAATACAAAGGAAAATCAGCTGGAGAACAAAGTCTTCTGGCAAAGATTATCCTATTGGTGAAAAAGAGAGAACTTTTTTCTATCCTTTCTTTTCTCCTTTCCTTTGAATTGTTGTATGAGGATGCAAAGCTTGGAGCATGGCAAGCCATTTCTGATCACAAGGAGAATGAAAATATCTCTGCTAACAAAAATGGATCAAAAAAATGAAAAAGTTTAGATCCTTATCATACCTCTGAACCACAAAACCTAGCCTAGGACTACCTTGTTCTATACACATTGTTAAATAGATAATCCAACGTTCTTAACAAATCCCTTTTGTTTGGGATTTCTGGGGCCTAAAGTTTCTGTAGTATAAAGATACAAAGTAAAACAATTAGAGCAACTCTAGTCTTCTTTAACTCAGCAAGTATGCTTAAAACAACAGATGTTCCAGGCATTCTAGGCCCCTAGGATACAAGCCTGAGAGAAGAACCATCCTTTACCCTAAGGGAGTTTACAGTTGCTTGGGAAGGACAGACAAGTAAGCAAAATCTTAAATAAGACAGACACCAAACTCAGACTTACTGAGTGAACACTATGCTGACAGCAAGGAAGAAAATAAGTTAACCAGATAGGGGGAGTGGGAGCTAGTGGCTGGGGGTGAGCATGTATAAGGCCTGAGAACAAAACAGAATTTGTTAAAAGGTTCAAAAGAAATGAGAAAATAGAGACTATTAGGTGTATTAAGGGAAATTAAGATTTGAAAATAAAAAGAAAAACAAGGAGCATTAGATAATGACGATGGAGATGTAATCAGAGGTATGCCCAGCCATGCTGAACTTGTACATCATGTCAGACTTGTTGATTTGTTCTCCATTCTTTGGGTGGTAGATACACAGGACAAGCTAGGCCTAACTTTATATATCAAAAGGACTGTGTCTTCTCTTTCTACTAGTCCAAACCCAAGACTTCAGCTCCTTCCTACTGATGAACTCTTTTGCCCTGTGCAAGTACAAAATAAAAGGCAACATAAAGTCTTCTAAAAAAATCACAAGTGTTCACAAATGCCTTGGAGGTAATGAGTAGCTTAGGCTACTCAGTGAAAAAAAAAAAGGCAGATCCAGGACTCAAAGTCAGGTCTCTTGTGTTTCATCCAAATTATTTCTACCAGGAAATATTACCTCCTACCATGTTTTCTCTAGAACTCTGCTCTGATTCTTGAGGTGAAGGGCATGTGGGATTATGTGGTTACAGGGGAGGGTGTAACCATGAGGCTTATGGAATGAAACTACAAGGGGTATGTGGAATGCATTAAAACAAGGCCTCTCCCTCCTACTTGGTAGGATCAGTTTCACTAAAAGGAAAGCTGGTCCATATTTGGACACCTGACCTAGGTTTTGAAGTTTATTGCTTTCTCTACTGACCACTAGAACCTCACTACAACTTTCCATTTCAAAAAAAAATGTTGAATGCCTACATGGGCAAGACTGTTTATGATAAGTTGGCTGTTATAACTACAATAACAATTTTCAGTGGTTGAACATAGTAGAAGTGTGGGTCTGACTAGATGTTAGCGGTGCCAGTAAAGGGGGTAGTCTCTTTCAAGCAGTGATTCTGGCCCCACCATCTTCAGCAAGCAAATTCCAAGGTTGCTATGAATATACAAAGGACTTATACACGTGGAGGTGTAGTAGATGAAGGTTTCTATGGAAACCTAGAAGCAACTCCAGAGTCCTGGAAGGCAATTGTATTTATGCTAGAAGATTGACTAGACCACCCATATTGCACAGTTCACTAGGAAACCTGGTCCATCTATGTACCGGAAGTAGAGGAAACAAATTTGGTGCCATTTAGCAGTCTCTTCTACACAGACCCTATGATGTTCACAGTGAGGGGCAAAGGGGTTAATCAGATTGGATCCTTTTCCTCAGGGGACTCACATTCTGCAGAAAGAGGCAAAACCATGCTGAGGTGACTGTTGTAAGGATGAAGGCCTGGGTTACTGCAGCCGAGGAGGATCATACATGAGAGGCCCTATTATTGGGTGACGGGTTATGCAGTGGCCTCTGATGTCTGATTGAATGACTTGTGAGCTCTTCACAGCAACCACAAGATTAGAAAGATATTTGAATTTGGATACATGACTAATCCTCATCTGAAATATATATTTAAAGACGTGGACACATGTCCACTCCTTAATTGCGCTCAGTCTGTTATAGACAGAGCCAGCAACACTTGGCTCTTGCTACCTCTCATCACTGCTTGACAAAAACAAGTCACACAGGGCCTCCCTGGTGGTGCAGGTGGTTGAATGCAGCACTGTGAGGCTGTCTGCAGCCCCTGTTGGTGGGTTTAATCCCAGCCAGCCAGGGAGCTACCCACATAGTGCGGCAGACCTCTTCTGTCTCGCCCACTGCTCCCTTCAGCAGTGTATTTCAGTCAGTCTGCCTGTTCTGTTCCCCGCTCTGTCTCTGGTGAATCCTCTCACCCTCCCGCACATCTGGCCTGTCTGTACCCTGGTTCTTGTATGCATGAGTATAATCAATCTTTAAAAAAGAAAAAAAAAAAGCCACACATTCTCTACAGATGGAAGCAGAGCAGAGCAAGCAGCTTCTGCCAGGAAACACAGAGGTGGGCTGTTCAAAGTGAAGCTGTGGTTTGTCCTTTCCCGATCTGTGCCTTAAATTTCCACATAGGATGACATATATATCAAAAATTTGGTGACTGTGTCAAAACTTAGAGAGGTAGAAGCTGAATTTTACTTATCTGGAAACAAAGAAGAGCCCACACTGTGCAAAGGAGTTCTTCTGTCCTGTTCCTTCCTTTAGCAAAGTTTCTAAGATGAGAGCTAGAACTGAAAGGAGCATAAATGAATCAGATAAAAATACAAGAGGCAGGTAGGTACAAACTGACGAACTCCTAGAGAGCAAAGAGGCTCAAAACCCAGCACTCAAAGAACTGACCAGGGATCTGTTTCAGTGGTCTCATCACCTGTCACAGGGATCCTTGACGATATGGTGAATTTCCTAGACTGTCTCTTCCCAAGAATTATACACATCTGCTCATGTATCAAATTATATTTACATCAGGTTTACTTACCTCCCATCTATTCCAATATCTTCATTAATATGTTGAACACATACTAATTGAGCACTGACTTTCTATAAAGCACTGCTCCAGGGGTTGCAGGGACAGCAGTTATCAAAGTAGACAGAAGTCACTGCCCCCATGGGGCTGACATTTCAGCAGGGAAAGACTGATGACAGAACAAGAAAACAGTAAGATTCACTGTTGGGCAGACAGTGATATTGCATGGAGAAAAATAAGGTTAGCAGTATGAGTGAGGGAGGTAGGTAGGGGCTAGGACTGAAGGTATGGGGAGCAGAAGGGAAGGACGGGTTGCATTTTATTTTATTTTTTTAAGATTTATTTATTCATGCATACATGAACTGGGTACAGGCCAGAAGTGCAGGAGGTGAGAGGATTCATCAGAGACAGAGTGGGGAGCAGAACAGGCAGACTGACTGAAATACACTGCTGAGGGGACCAACGGGCAAGACAGGAAAGGTCTGTTGCATCATGTGGGTTGCTCTCTGGCCAGCTGGGGATAGAACTCGTGCTATAGAGGCTAGCAGCAGCTTAATAGCGCTGTCTTTAAACCCTGTGCCACCAGGGAGACCCAGGGGTTCCATTTCAATTAAGGTGATCAGGGAAGGTACTAGTGACAAAGAGACATTTGAGCTAAGGCATGTGGCTACCTGGCAAAAATGGTTCCCAGTAAAGGGAATATCAAATATAGAAACCCTGATGTTTGGGGCTAAGAAGTAAGTGGCTGCGCCTAAAGCTGTGTATGTAATGGACAAAGATACAGCAGGAGGGACTATGGCAATGATGCATGGGTGAATTGGTGGTGGGAATTCTATGGGGACTACACCTGAGGGGAAAAAGCAAACATTGTACAAAAATGAACAATGATATAAAATACATATAAATAAATAAATTATATTTTTTAAAATCACAGGATTTGAGGTGGAAGAGTGGGTGTGAGTGCATTGCGTGTGGCACCCAAAGCAGGTTCTTCTTTGCAACTCCTCCTCTGCACAGCAAATGTTTTTTTGAGATTGTGAAATGAATAATAACAACAACAAACAATAGGTATAAAATAAGTATAGACATAAAATGGTATTTTATTTGGATTTTGTATATAAAATTATGCCAATAAAAATGAATCTTCAAAAATGAGAAATATTATAATGTAAAAGACATAATGGATTTATACTTTTAAGTTATATTAATGTATTTTTATAAAAGGAGAAAAGGGCATATATTGTACTTAATAGTGACATTGTGGGAACTAACAAATGAATTTTTATAAAATCAAATCACCTGCAAAAAGTAAAATGTATACAATTAGTAAATAGTTTAATTGATATGACATTTTATTTTCTTGACCTGTCATGTAGTTTTATTTATTTATTTTTTTAAAAGATTTAATTTTTTATTTATACAATAGCTGAGGTACAGTCCAGAGGCACAGGAGAGTGAGAGGATTCACCAGAGACAGAGTGGGGAGCAGAACAGGCAGACAGACTGAAAGCACTGCTGAGGGGAGCAGCGGGTGAGACAGGAGAGATCTACTGTTCCATGTGGGTAGCTCCCTGGCCAGGTGGGAATCGAACCCGCACTGCAAAGGCTGTAGACAGTTCCACAGCGCTGTGCTCAACCAGCTGCACCACCAGGGAGGCCCTGCCCTGTAGTTTTAAAACAATTTAAAATTTGAAGAGAAAAATAAAGTACAATTTTAAAGATATTTTTCAAATTCAGTAGCTAAAATTTGCACTTTACAAAAAATATTAAAATTCACAATATGTATGTGGTATGTTTTACTCTATTTCAAGAAAAGCCTTTATGCATTACAAATGTTGTAATTTGGTATGCACCGTTGAAGCAATTATTTTTTATTTAATTGCTTCTAATTGGGATTTCAAAGTTATTATCTCTCTGGTCATTAAATAAGTATTAATTGATTTGCTCTATTATGCAGTCACTTCAATTTTTTTTTTAATGCATCATATGCCGCAGGCTTGGTGGCCTCACTAGTGTTGGATCTGCCAACTTTGCTTTGGGAACCACTCCCATAGCAATTTATACAAGTCAAAAATGGTTCTTATCACATGCAAGGGAAAGAACCAATTGTCTTCAAATTCAAGCACTTAGCTCTGGGAATGGCAGATACACCAGTTGCTCAACAAATATTGTACAAATAAAAAAAATTACTCTTTCCCTGCCCAAGAATCTGCTTTACAGCATCCCATTTCCCAAATTTGGTGGATGCTTACATTTGTTTTTTTTTTTTTTTTTTTACCCCTTTGGGATGATCAGTAGCAGGGTGGAAAAGAGAATTGTAGCAGATACTCTCTGTGATCTGTTCAGATCTCCTTGGGATACCTTCAATGCCTGCAGGGGGCTTTGTGTTTTCGTCTAATGATCTGTACCTATGACGCTCAGCAAAAGACTGCCCTTAAGTCCCTTTACCTGTCCTAGCAAAGTCCCCAAAGCGCTAGGAGTTTACTCCCCAACCTCACCCTGTCCCAGCAGCCCCGAGCCAATGACAAAGCTTGGAGCCTGCAGCTCTTCTCCTATGCCAAGAGTTGGGACACTGAGGTGAAGTTTACATCCCAAAGTTCTGTGGCAGTGTTGGATTTAGGTTAATGCTCTGAGGGAAATCACGTTCTATATAATTTCTTGGTCCTCTTAAGAGATTTCCCTAGGGGTATGTAGCGCAACCATCCCACACCGGGTAGGTTCCTTACTGGTTCTAGCAGCTGTGTTGGTGTCTTCGTGATCTCTGCTGTTCGGCGCCGCACTCCGTTGCACTCTGCCACTCACCGCCACACACCTCCGTCCACTCCACTGCACTACTTCGTCCTCGGCACCATGCCACACCACGCCCTCCACACCGCGCCGCACAACGCCACACCACGCCATGCCATGTCACGTGGTACCACGCCGTTTGGCTGAGTGCGCATGCACAGTGGGAGGGCGGAAAAGCCTGAAGCTTTTCCCCTTTACTTACTCCATAATCCACCCCATCAGGGCTTTCCGCCATACAGTCTATATACAAGTATATACAAATTTCCTGTAACAAACATAAACACTGTAGCCATGGCCCAAAAAAGCAAACAGGATACATCACAATATAACTAAGTTCAATTCTCCTGGGGGCGGAAAGATAAAGAAGTCATTGGCACCAGCAATGGGAGATCCCTCCCATCTGGCAACATACACGCCAATTTTTTTTTAAAGATTTATTTACTTATGCATACAAGAGCTGGGGTACAGGCCAGAGATGCAGGGGATTGAGAGGATTCACCAGAGACAAAATGGGGAACAGAATAGGCAGACTGACTGAAATACACTGCTGAGGGGATCAGCGGGTGAGTCACGAGAGTTCTGCTTCACCATATGGGTTTCTCCCTGGCTGGCCAGGGATCGAACTCGCGCTGCAGAGGCTGCGGATTGCTTCATAGTGTGGTGCTTAACCTCTTGCGCCACCATAGAGGCCCTATACATGCCAATTTTGTGTCCAAAGATAATATTGCAGCTGGCATCAGTGGACTTCCAGGTTGTATCACATTTGCTTTGCCAGCAAAGAGGCATCAGAGAGCTCTACATGTAGCAAGAGTGGAGCGCTCCCAATAGGCTATAGAGTCATCACAAATATCCCCTTTAGGATTGCTTTCTGATCTGCCACCCCAGGGTGTTACCCACCCGTGGCAGCCACTGTGCAGTCACCCATGGTGTTTTTTGTAAATTGGCCTCGAGGCCATGACCCCAAGAGGCTATCATATTGATAGCCAGCGCATGTGGGGAGCCTTCACAGTCCAGGACCATTCCCAGTCCACAGTCTGCCCTGGGTTCACTCCGGTCAGGGTTGGCAATAAAATGTTGCCCTGCTGTCCAAATCCAGGCTTTAACAAAATATCCGAAGTGTGCATCTGCAATTGAATGGGAGTTGCAGCACGATGCAGCAACACCTCCACTGGAGCCAGGCCGCCTTCCTGCTCCTCTCATTTAGTGTTCGTAGCACTACCCACAGACATTGGTTCGACCCAGCCAGCGTCAGAGTGGGGACAGTAGCTGTCCATCCTTGCTTTAGCAGGCCATTATAACACTCTATGATCCCTGCAGCTTTGGGATTATAGCGAGTATGAAACTTCCATTCAACACCCATGTCCTTGGCCCACTGCTGTACCAGGGCTCCCGTAAAATGAGTCCCTTGGTCGCTCTCCACTACCAGCAGACGTCCGTATACAGCACATAGGTGTGCCATTGCTGCCAAAACTGCCTTTTGGTCAGCATGTGGAGCAGGATAAGATGCCAATAACCCAATAGCAGTGTCCACACAGGTGACGGCATACTGTTGTCCATCGGAGCGAGGTAGTGGTCCAATGATGTCAATCTGCCAGCATGTCAAGGGTAACTACCCCCACAACACCTGGTCTGTGGATGCAAAAGGTCTCCGGGGCTAAGTCCTGAAATACAATACGCCTTGTTAACAAACAGTTTGAACCTTCCCTAAAGTTACAGGTAGACCCCAGGCACACACAGTGGCCCACATTGTCTTTTGCCCTGTGTGGAGCAAGCGTCTGTGCAGCCACTGCACAACATCCTTCCCTGGAGCAGTTTCAAGCCATCGAACTGGGCTAGGGTATCTGCTTCCTCGTTGCCTGGTGAGGCCAGTGGGGTATGTCCCGTGACATAATAAACAGTCACCTGCTTCTGATTCCCTAGATCCCATGTATCTTTCCATGGGGCCTGGCATCACAATGGCCAATGCATGACTGTCCAGTCATTTAAATTCCACGTAGAAATCCACAGTGTCAGGCCCCTATACACAACCCAACTGTTAGTACAAATTACTAGAGGGGAAGGCTCATGGGCCACCACCACCTATACTGCTCACAGTTCAGCCCACTGGCTGCTCTGTTCTATCCTATTTTCACACCAAAAGGTGTCCGTTTCTGGGTGTACAGCCACAGCTATACACAATGCTGGCTGGCCGCGGCTGGTGCTGTCCATATACCAGGCCTCCACTGAAATCAGTGCTCCTCCCTCCTTGTCGGGACTAGCCTGAAGTTTGGCTTCTACATAGACTTCTGAAGTCGGTTCCATACTGACATACGTCCCCAGAACAAGAACCTCCTGCAGCCTGCCCTTAAGGGGCTAGTTGACAGGGTGCAGCACTCTTCTAGGTAGGCCCCCCACTTCTCCAAGGTGGGCATTTGAGCAGTACCACTATGGGGCTTTGTTGTCCAGACCTGTACCCATCCAGCTATTGGGTAAGTGGTTCTCACTAAGACAGGAGCTGTGGCAGTTACACTTTCAGTAGCTAGTAAGGCTGCATATGCCGCAGCTAACTGCTTTTCAATTCAGGAATACCTAACCTCAGCCCATTCCAGAGTTGGGACCAGAACACAACAGGCTGTCGTAGCCTTTGATTTCTGCCAGAGTCCCCACCTGAACCCTTCCTGAATCATGTGCACATCTAGCTCACAGAGTCGGACTGGGTCGAAAACCTGCAAGGACTGAGCAGTCTACAGTTTGTTTGGCTATGGCAAATGCTGTGTCTTCCTCAGCTGACCAATCCCACCTGGCCCCCTTACATATCAACACATACAAGGGTCGTAGGAGCTGGGCCATGTGAGGTATAAATGCCCTCCAGTAACCCGGCAGGCCCAGAAAGGCTTGCAGCTGCTTTCACTGTGGTTGGAGTGGGGTAAGCTTGCACTTTATCTATTACAGCATTAGGGATAACCTTTGTCTTACCTGACCAAATAACCCCCAAGAACTTAACTGACAGTCCAGGCCCCTGCAGTTTGCTTTCGTTGATTGCCCAGACATGTGTTTTCAGGTGTGTCAATAGGAGAGGTACTGCCTTTTCCAAATCTGCAAGAGAGTCACTAGTCAATAAAATGTCATCAATGTAATGATACAAATGCACTGAAGATGGCCTCTCCCACTGGGCCAGATCTGCTGCTCCAGCCCATGGCACAGAGTAGGGCTATGCAGGTATCCCTGTGGTAGCACAGTAAATGTCCTTTGCCAGCCTTCCCATGTGAAGGCAAACTGGTCTTGACTCTCTGGAGCTACATCTATTGGAAAAAATGCATTTGCCAGACTGGCTCATCGTCTAGTTCATGACTCAGACGATCCACTAAGTGTGCCACTGAAGGCACTGCAGCATGCAAGGGGGGAACTACCTTATTTAACTCACGATAATCTACTGTCATGTGCCAAGAGACATCAGGCTTCTTCACCTGCTATACCGGCAAATTGTAGGGGCTGTGGGCAGTAGGCACTATGCCCACTTTCTCCAATTCTGATATTGTGCCCGCCATTTCCTTGTGGTCTCTGGGCAACCGATATTGCTTAGTATTAGTCACTCACCTAGGGACTGGCACTTGTATGGGCGGATGCTTAGTGTGTCCTCGCACCGCTGCCTTGCCTTTACCACACACACTCTAAGATGAAACTCTGAGGCTGTGGTCTCTAGCCATAAGCCACATAGTACATCCAACCCCAGGATGTACTCCAGGATGGGTGATATATATATCTTTTATACTCTCTTGGGAGTAATCGCCTAATCCCCAGGGACAGTCTCACTGCTGTCAGTGAGACTTTGACACTCTGGCCTCCATAGCCATCAATGTAACAAGCAGACCCTTGAAATTTTTCTGAATTTCCATAGAGCAGAGTACATTCTGCTCCTGTGTCTGCCAAAGCCAAAACTCTTTGCATGTTAGTTGGGGGCCAGTGGATCGCAAGCTCCACATGTGGCCTCTGGTTCCTGCCCATCCCCCTTGGACAGGTTCCTTGGCCCTCACCCTATTTGAAAGTGAGCAGGCCATCACCCGAGGTCAGGGTCGGCAGCAAGTAGTCTTTCAGGCTCAGGGTGTGTTCCTGAGGCCTGGAGCTTCCCGGCTTCCCCTGAGCAGCAGTCCTTCTCACGGGCGTGAAACTCTTGGCTTCTTGCAGCTGCTTCCATAATTCTAACAAACATGCATTGGGCTTCGCGATCTACACCTGCTCTCACTAAATCTGTCCACATTTGGTTATGGTTAAATCTGTCCACTTTAACAGGCTCTGTCATGCCAAGAGGCTTTCTTGTCCTCGTCAGCATTCCTTTTGTTCAACAATTACCCGTATGCCTTTCTGAATTTGAGAGCGCTGGCTCTCATTTTCACCTAAGCTGGCTATCATGTTTGTGATGTCGTGTATCTGATGTCCCACATAGGGTGCTAGAACTGCCATGAGGGATCCAAATGAGGATGAGGGGGCACACTTTAATACCAAGTCTCTCACACCTGCTGTGAAACACTTGTCGTCAGGACCAAGAGTGTTCACATTGAACATGGCCTGCCGCATCCCCAATTCCCGAAGTACCTGTACCAATTCAGTGTACACTTGCCATCTGCTCACTGTCTCCGGTACATCTCCTGCATCAGCCCATATTGTTTGTATGGCAGCCATTATCCATTCCAGCAGGGTTTGATACCCCTGGCCATACTTCTGGCTGTTCTGCAGCCTCTGTCTCAAGGATGGGTGTAAAGTCACTGAGGCCAATCTCTCCATCTCTTGTGCCATACCAATAATCCCATCCACCCCCAGGTCCCACAAACATAGCAGGCAGGCTGCCAAGGGTTCTCCTGGTTTCTGGTGGAACTGTTTGCCCAAGTCCACCAGTTCCGCCTGGGTGTATGGTTGGTACATAGTAAATTCTGTCATTTGTGGTAAACAGCAGCCTCACCACCCGGGGCCATGAGTCACTGTCACTTCATTTTCTGAGTCACCACCAAGTGGGCCCAGAACATGGGACCAGCCTCCTGCTCTTCTCCAGAGGAGTCCAGAGTTACAGGTTGGTTTGCCACTACTGGCTGAGACTCGGGCAAAGGCTCAGGCTCTCTCTCCTCCTCTCCTGAGGAGTCTGGC